CATTCTTTGACCAACTTCGAATTGATGGTTACTGAGCTGATTGTGTTTAGCAATAATAAGCAATCATAGCAATAATAAGATAAGCAGACGATAATTTAGAAATTTTTAGCGAAAGCATAGATTATAATATTACACGTGTTATTTTTTAAAATTGTAAAATTATATGCGCCTTATTCGCATAACATATCCCTTTTCAAACTTCAAATTTGTCTGAAGAGTTTTAAGTTAACAAAGCCAAATAATTGTTCGAAGATGTTGTAAAAGATAAACACAAAATTTTAAATTCTGATTTTGGGTCATCTAAATATGTTAAGGGAAGTGTCAAATCCATGTAATCGTTCGAAAGTATTTTGAGACATAAATACATAAAATTTTGTGTTCTGATTTTCGGTGATTTAAATATGTTAAAGGAAATAGCGATGCATTTTATTTAAGTGAGACCTTTTGAATAATCATAGGAATAATAAAGAGATTACTGACAGAATAGCTGGAACATTATTCAAATATCATATTTGAGTTTACAGATATTAATTAAATATTTATGTCATACTTATCATCATTGTATTTTTATGAAGTTTGTACTACCAGTGTAGCGACGATTTTGATATACAAAAATTTTAAGCTATATCAATTTACTTTTGAATTAAAATGACAAACTCTAACAATTAAAAATATTTTTATATATTTCTGGTGTTTTATCCAATACTGCCCTATATTCTTCTGGCTTGTCTGATTTTATCCATTTTCTCGCGGTCTCTTCTTTATCATTTTCCTTCACTGATAAAAAAGATAGACTTGAACTAAAGTCTTCATCGTTCTTGAAAAAAAAAAAAATTAGTGGCAAGAGAATTTATTTTAGCGTAAAAGAAAATATTGTGCCTGAAGAAAAACTCTCTTAATTCAAGAAAACTGTTTCTCTTGAAAAATTCGAAAATTTCTCTTGAATCTATTTTCATTCCACCAAGTGCAAGTTACTTTGTTTTAAGATAATAAGAAAAATACGCTAGGAAGTACTTCATTCAAGAAACATGGCCATTTTTCCAATAGCTATGTACTCTTTTGATGAAAAATAATAACGACACGCAAAGACAATGACCAAGGACGGTATATACAATCAGTCGGCAGTCCGATCAGTCGTACGTCGCATTTCATAGGTCGCACATCATAGTACGCACGGGTTTTGTTGCTTGGCATTTTCCACTCGGAATTTTGCATAATTTGCTTTTTATATTTTTGCATAATTTGCTTTTTTATATATAATTAGTGATCGTTATTCACATGCATTTGTCATTTTTTATGGACAAATTTTAGGATACATGGATTATTTAAAGGAATTCCTGAAAAAATGGAAATGAGAGCATTTATTTTCTATATTTGAAGGTAAGAGACATTTACCTAATGCACCTGTTTAGATAATGCATTCGTGACTATAGGTAGAATAAGAATATAGTTATCGATTTTTTTATGCAAATAATTACAAAAATTTTAGAATTTCAAGTCGTCGTATTAAAAAATTCAAAATGTGACCAAAGCTTATAATTTTAATAATTTATTTGCTTTACTTTGATTAATTGTGATGTAACATTTATTTGTAATTTGTAGAGTGATGAACCACCCCAAAAAATACAAAGGAGTGAAGAAGCAGAAATAACTACTATCGAGAAAAATAATATCACTTTACTTACTACAGACCAGGAAAACCTCAATTTATCAGAAAATAATTCTGCCTGTATATGTTGTATAGACTTCTCTTAGATCTAAATAAATTTAGTTGAGTCAATAGTATTCGCTATTGGTTTAAGAAAAGTGTCTCTTTAATCAAGAAATGTCCCTTTTCAATCAAGAATTTTTGCATGAATCAAAGAGACTATTGTTCTTGTATTAATTAACTTCTTTGCATATTGATTTTGGGTCAAGAGTGAAATACTTTGGACAGATAGATTCTTCTATTCTCTAAAGTAATTTTTTTAAAACTTATGAAAAGATAGTTAATGCTTTGGGTAAAGAAACGTCGTTCTTGGCCCTATTGAAAAGCGCCAATCTTTTGGGTCAAAGTCATATTCATTTCGACTGAGAGATCTTTTTTTTCAGTGTTCGTTTAGATTTAAGATTTAATTCAATTCTAGTTCCAACTATTCGATGGTCACTTCCTATGGAGAATTCGCCCAGTACTTGTACATCCTTAATTATTAATCATTAATTTTTATCAGTCATGGTAAAATCTATCTAGTTCTTGGCAATTTCGGCTGGGCTTGCTCAAGTCCATTTTCGGTTTGGGTATTTCTTAAGACTCCATTTCACTGGTCCGAAAAAGTAACAATAAGCGTTCGGAATTTAACGTTTTATGTAAAACTGGCTAGGTATTTTTACACAAATTCTTCTTCTTCTTCCTTCTTCATACTAGGCGAATCGCCTGTTTGGTTTCGTCGTCTCTACCGGTCAGACTGACAAGTTGTCGCTCCATCGTTTTCGTGGACGTCCTAAGCTTCTGCGACCTAGCGGTGATTTGTCGCGTGCAACTCTCACTATCCTTCTGTTGTCCATTCTGCTGATATGCTTGTTCCATTCTTACTTTCTGCTGAGTACCCACTGATTTACATTTTCCACCTTGCACGCTCTTCTTATGCTTTCATTTCTTGCCCTGTCCAGAAGCGTATTTCCAGCTATTCTGCGTAGTACTCTCATTTCGGTTGTTTCTAGTAGTTGTTTAGTTTTCGCTGTATCAGGTCGAGTTTCTTCAGTGTATGTCATTATTGGTCGTACCGTTGCCTTGTAAATTCTCGCTTTAGTCTCCACCTCAATGTTTTTATTTCGCCATATTGTATCATTCAGACATCCTGCTATTCTGGTGGCCTTCGTTGTCCGTTCTCGCACCTCCGCTTCTACATCACCATATCCTGAGATTTCTATGCCTAGATACTTAAACTTCATCTCTTGCTGAATAACATTGCCCTCGACTTCCAGTTTGCATCTTAGTGGTACTTTTAATGTCGTCATGCATTTAGTTTTCTGAGTCGATATTATCATAATAAGTGATTTGGCAGTGCAATTAAATCGATGTAATAAGCGCTGTAGATCGTTCTCATTTTCAGCTACCAATACGGCGTCGTCGGCATAGTATAGAATAGTAAATTCCTGGTCGCCCATACTGTATCCCTTCAGTAAACGTACATTTCCTACTACTTCGTCCATAATGATATTGAAAAGAAGAGGGCTCAGGGAGTCACCTTGTCGGATACCACAGCCTGCATTTATTGGTTTGGTCAGGACCCCGTTAATTTTAGCTTGAATTTGGTTCGCTTCATATATGTTTTGTATGGTTTTAACGAGGTTGTGTGGGATTTGCCTATTGTAAAGAAGGTGTACAACGTCTCTTAGCTGCACACGGTCGAACGCTTTTTCTAAATCAATAAAACACATATACGCTGGTTTGTTATATTCGATTGATTTTTCTGTTATCTGTCTTATGACAAAAACCGCGTCTATGCATGATCTGCCCGATCTGAAACCTTGCTGTTCATCTACTAAGCATGTTAAGTCGTTTATTTTGGTTGTTATCACTTTTGTCGTAAGTTTTAGTGTGGTACTTTTACTGTGGTGTGGTAGATTGATGCCTCTATAGTTTGAGGGCAGCTTCTTATCTCCTCTTTTAAACATCAAGATAGTGGTGCTGGTTCGCCATTCATTGGGTATCCTGTGTTGGTAAAGAATTTTTTGAATCAGGGATGTTAGCTGCTGTATGAGACTTTGGCCGCCATATTTAACTAATTCGTTTGGGATATCATCTTGCCCTGGGCTCTTCCTATTCTTTAGCTTTCGAAGGGATATAATTATATCGGCTGCCTCAATCTGTACGTTGTCGTTGGTCATTATTTCGGGTGTATTTAGTTCAACCTCTATTTCTTCTGATTTGTATAGTTCTGACAAGTAATCAATCCAGGATTCCCTTGCTATGTGATTTGTTTCAACTAACTCGTTAATCTCTTTTCTTTGCGTTCCTATAAAGCGCCAAATTTGTTTTTGAAGTCCGTAGAAGTCACTCTCCATTCGTTTAGAGAAAATTTCCCAATGTTGGTTTTTTGTTTGTCTTACTAGTGCTGTTGTCTCGTTTCGGATTCGTCTATGAGATGGCACTCGAAGACATAGAGATGGTAAGGTTCGGATGAACAGGTTGATAAGAGTCAATAAGGTTGTTGGTCGCATTCGGATTTGCTGAGGTGTCGTCGTTCAGTTGAGCAGGCTGGTGAAAATGAAGACAGACAGAGTCGTCAGTTATATTGGGAGACGTGGAGGCGATGCTTTTAGGTCAAGATGTCTTCGGGGTGGAAGAAGAAGAAGAAGAAGAGAGAGCCATCGTCATTCTGGAGGAATTTGCTGTTTGTTTAGTGATACCAAAGGCCTTAAATAGAGGTGTGGCTTTTATCGGTTTTGTCTGCAATTGAGATTTTGCCCTCTCCAGATATTTTTTGTATATCTGGCTTTCTCTCCTATGGCGGACCTGAGCCTGAGTCAATCCCGTAGCTGTCATCATTTCTTTTATAGAAACTGTTTTGAGAGTTTTGGCTTCTATATTTGCTAGGATTTCTAAATACTCAGGCTCGGTTTTTGTGTTTAGCTTCTGTGACTCGTTCTCACATTCCGCGGGATGGCTTCTTCGTTCATGTTGTTTCACCTTCTTGAATGAATCATATGTTTTTCCGCAATATTTACATTTGCTGCGGTCTCCACAAGATCTTGTTAGCATATGTGTTTTTAATAGAGCAATAGATGGGAATATTGCTCTGCAGTTATCGCAAGTGCGTCCGTGTGATTGATGTTGGTTATGTTGTTCTGTCTGAGACGATGCTGATTCCGATTCTAACGGAGCCTTCGGGTTGCCAGAATTATTTATCTTGGGCCCTGATGCGTTATGAGGTGTCGCAGGCTCCTCTTGACCGCCTTCCCTGGTGGTTGTGGGAAGCGACATCCCGATGGTTTGGGATGTGGGACTGGTTGTGTTGTTAGTTCTGTCCCGAGCATCGCCTAGATCGATTTGCTGTTCTGTAGTTGAGGTATGCTATTTTTTTCTCTCTACATTTTTCTTTAATTTCTGGACGGAACCACGGAGTTTTATTTATTTTGGTGCTATTATTTCTTTTTATAGACCGGGTGCCTAAAGCTTCATATGCGGCTTCTTTGATGTTGTTCTTTAGTTTCTCCCAGGAGGTATTTATGCTATCCTCTGCTTTTATTGGGTTTACCTGGATCTTCTCTGTCAGTCTTTTCTCATATAGTTGTTTAATCGACAAGCCCCATAGCGATTCGATGTTTATCTTAACTTCTTGAGTTGCTTGTCCTAGTTTCTTATGAGGTTTAAATTTTAATTTGATTTTTGCAAGTAACAGACTGTGATCGCTTCCTACATCGGCTGAGTTCAACGTCCTGATATCTAATATTTGAAGTGGATGTATATATCTGTTTGTAACAATATAGTCAATTGTAGATCTGTGGCCTCTAGTATTGCTAAATGTGAATTTGTGTTGCTCTTTATGGTCGTAGAATGTGTTGTTAATACGTAGTTCATTGAATGTGCATAAGTCGATCATAAGTTCTCCATTGTCGTTCAGTACATTTTCATTAAACCTCTGCTTGATTCCAGGGATTATTTGATTTCCGATGCGGGCATTGAAATCTCCAAGAATTAATATATGTTGATCGCTTGGCAATGATTGAATTGTATTTTGGAGTTGATCGTAGAATGACTCCCTTTCTTGTTTTGGTTTATTGTCTTCAGGTGAGTAAACTGACACTATATTTAGTTTTTGATCTCCTGTTTCCATTCTTACGACCAAGATTCGCGAGGATACATAACTGCAGTGCCGTATGTTTGATTGGTACTTTCTTGCTACTGCGATTGCTACTCCTTCTTTTGCCCTTGTTTGTTTTTCAACTCCGCTGTAGATCACTAGATAGTCATCGTATTGTAATTGACCTTTACCTTTCTTTTTCGTCTCCTGTAGGGCACATATATCGATTTTATTATCTTTAAGTTCTTTTAGGGTTTCTTGATCTTTGTTGTTAAATGATTTTATGTTCCAGGTGGCAAAGCGCAGTATACATTTCTTTTTCCAGGCCGTTATCCTATTTCTTGCGTGGGTCATCATCAATAAATCAGTCGTTTTCCGAGGCAGAGTGTCGGTTCTATGAGCCGTGGTTCTTTTTTACATCGGGTAGGGAGCTAACCTAGCCCGACAACATTCCTCCTTTTTCCGGGCTTAGGACCGGCAACACGACCACTGAGCTTCTCAATCCACCCAGTGATCGCGCAGGCGGAGTTTTACACAAATGTAGAACGAAATTAAAGATAAAGGATTATACTATATCCGTATTGTGGCACATTTTTAGATGACTTCTGTATTTTTAAGATTTGGATGGTCAAACATCAACACAATATACCTCATGTTTGGACCAAATTTTCTCGAAAATATAGCCATAATATAAAATTCCGTGACAATACGGAAATACATTGAACTTTTGTGATTATAGTGATATATAATTTTTATGGTTTTGTAACAAATTGCTCGCTATTTTCTGGCAAATGTTGAAGCTCTGCAAACCTTAATCAAAGCATGTGTGGTTGGAATTTTAGGTGTGGCTTAACGTGACAGGATCGGACTTAGGCAGGTTTCTGAAATATAATATATATTGCCTTCGGGCCGCACACCCGCTTTACCCGATCCCTGAGAGCGACCCGAACAGTACAGCATAATAGACTCTTAAAGCGTTCATTACGTATAGCACATTTTGAAGAGTGAATTCTTTAAGTGAAATTATTAAAGAAAATTGTCCGAAAAAGATAATCAGGGTAACACAAACTAACCCAAAACACTAAAGATCTGAATAATAGTATCGTATAATTATGACGAACAAACACTTAGATAATTACAGGAAACTTAATAAAAGATATCTAAAGAGATAAGAAAAGACATCAGAACCCAAAATACCAAAAAAATAACTCAATTCATTGAGAGAAATGAATGATTAAAAGCGTTTAAAAAAGAGGCAAGCATAGGAAGGGTACAGATAAATTTCAAAATGCCGAAGGACAGATAACGTATAAAAGAGAACATATATTATACGTGTTACGGAAAATTTATACCAGCAGCTATAAGACAACCCAAACCTTAAAAACTCGTATACCACAATACTAACTGTGATGAATCAGGACTCAGAAGAAGTCCCAGAAATTACTTTAGATGAAATATCAGCGTCATTAAACTTTATAAACAACAATAGGTCTTGCGATGAGGATAGTATAGCTACTGAAGCCATTAAAGAAAAGGAAGGTTCTGAAGGCATTGCAAATATTATGCAACAAATGTCTGGTTGAAGGAAGAACGCCATCAGAATGGGGATAATGCCAATATAATACTATTAAGGGGACAAAACTAATCTCACCAACTATTTTAATAATTCTTTAACTAGAACAATATCAACCAAAAGAGCAGGCTGGTTTTGATCGAACTTCCGCACAAATGACCATATATTGGTAGTGAAGGCCCTAATAGAAAAATGCGTTGAGTATAATAAACCCCTCATTTTAATATTTGTCGACCACGGTAAGGTATTCGACTCTATCGATCAACACAAATTATTCAAGGCCCTAGCCGAATATCGTATACTAGCTCTTTAAAATATATAGGGTGATTCACGGCGATGGCACGTTTATGGCATAGAATTGTTTTTCAAAATTTGGATTATTTTTGGAAACTAATTTCACATCTGATAATTTTTCTATTATACTAACCTATACCAATCTCTAATAGTTTTTGAGATAATAAATAAACCATTTGTAAAATTGACACAAACATGATCGTGAATAAGCATTAATAAAATCATGAATTGAACATTATAAAATTGAAATTTGGATTACAAATTAACGAAAGTCGGTATATTCCAACTGACGGTCTAAACCAACTGAGTGGATATTACACAGGGAGAGCAAAAAAAATATTTATTTCCGTATGTTTTCCTATCTTGAATTTAAAATAACAAAGATTTGAACTAATTCCGTATCAACAAACAAATTCGGTATTAAAAGAGGAGGCGATACCATTTCTTCCAAACTGTTCATATATTATATGTAAAAGACTAAACTGGGAGGAAGTGGGTATTAATATTAAACTAAGTTTTGCCAATGACCTAGTTCTGATTACATATACATACACGAAGCACAAAATATGCTAGAAACACTTAAACGGGTGTCAGATCAAAGTGGACTACGCATAAATTATTCAAAAACATAACTAATGACCAATCTTTTTGATGACCAAGAATTTCTAGTTGTTCTCACATCTATACTAATATACTATAAAATCCTTAAGTGACTGACATACTGATTAATCACGATCCTGCTAAACCACTAAACGTAAGAAACTCAATTTTGGCATACAGGTTGATTCTAGGGTGTAGAGATTCTGTTACGGGCGAGAATTAAGGGGCTCAGTTCATTAGGGTGAGTTAATGTATCAGGACTGTGGGCACTCACCTTTATTCCCGTTCTGGACTCGTACTTGTTATTTTGCTTATAAAACACTTGAGGATAGCGCGCGCTTGGAGGTGTACACTGTGTACTCGGCCGATCTTGTCACTCTCTCGTATTCGACTACTGCTACGTACCCACTAAGGTTTTTCGGGTAAAGGATGGGAGGAAGGGATAGAATCCAACATACCGCCCACCAAAATGAAATATTTTCCATTTTCGTTTGAGAATAGTAAAGTAAAATAAAAAAAAGTGAAAAAATGCGTTATGTTTAAAAGAAAGTAAGAGTGAAATTTATGGAGTTAAATTTAGAGGAAATTTAGAAAAATGCATTATTGGGGTTAATGCATGAGTGTAATTTAATTAAATATTAAGAGAGTTTACATTTGTTATAGAGTAGAGAAAAGTAATTGAATAAGAGATGTTAATTATGTTTATAATGAGATTATGTTTTTTTTTGCGATTATGTTTTTTTTAGAGAGTAAATTTTAATTATGAGATTTGCAGTAAGGCAGTGGGCATATCTTTGTCACTGGTCTTTTAAGAATGCCTTTTGCTGTTTTTAAAGTAACCACGCGTGTAACACGATCATGGCCCGGGTGAATCTCTAAGACTCTTCCAATGCTCCATTTGAGCGGAATAAGATTATCATCCTTTATTAAAACAACCGAGTTTATTTCTATTGGAATAGTAGAGTCATTCCATTTAGCTCTTTGTAAAAGTGTTTGAAGGTATTCTTTAGACCATCGGCTCCAAAAGCTTTGGTGCAAGCGTGATATCAACTGCCAGCGAGAGAGATGATTTAATTTTATCCCGGAAAGATCATCTTTCGGAGGGGCGTTTAACGGCTCTAGGGTTAAAAAATGTCCTGGAGTAAGAACTGACAAATCATTAGGATCAGAGCTTTGTGGACACAATGGACGAGAATTAAGCACTGCTTCTATTTGAACCAGTAGCGTATAAAATTCCTCATACGTGAGCAATTGGTCACCAATGACCCTTTTAATGTGAGTTTTTACAGACTTTATTCTTGCTTCCCACAGGCCACCAAAATGAGGCGCGCTTGGAGGATTGAAGTGCCAGGAAATTTGTTCTTGCTCAGCGGCGGATTTTAGCATATTAATCAGTTCTCTAGAAGCTCCGACAAAGTTCGTTCCACAATCGGAATAAATATGATTGCAGCGACCTCTACGAGAAATGAATCGACGCATTGCACCCAGAAAAGTCTCGGAGGAAAGGTCGGAAACCAGTTCTAAGTGCAAAGCTTTGTGGCCATGCACACAAATAAGCAAATATAGGCTTTACAGGACTTAGCACCTCGTGCACGATATCTTAATAAAGAGAATGGACCACCATAGTCGCATCCAACTTCAGAGAAAGGTTTTACTTGAGAAAGTCTTACAGCAGGAATATCTCCCATAATAGGAGGCTGAGGCATTACTGGATTAGCGCGAAAGCATTGAGGACATTTAAAGAGAACACTACGAATTGTTTTTCTAGCAGAAACAATCCAGTATTGTTGAGCGAGAATATAGTGAAGAGTTTGGGGACCGGGATGCAAATAGAGTTTATGAGTATATTCTATGAGTAGAGTAGTAAATTTATGATTATTGGGTAAGAGTGCGGGATGTTTTTGAGAGAAATTTAGAGAAGCATTGCGCAAGCGACCACCAACTCTAAGAATTCCATTGGTGTCGATAAAGGGGGTCAATTTTCTTAAGTATTTAGGTAGAGATTTGCAATTATTTATTAAGAGAATTTCCCTAGCATAATATTGTGATTGAACACATTTAATAATACATTCTAGAGTTTCATTTATTTCAAATTTCGAGAGAGGAGAGGTTTTACGAGATTTAGAATGTCGAGTATTATAGAGAAAGCGTCTGCAAAACGTGACAATATTTATAATTTTAGAGAAAGAAGAGAACTTTTCAAAGAGAGTATCAAACAATGAGGGCTGTGAAGTACATGTCAATATAACTTTTCGTTGTTCTTCTTCAATTTCAGGGAAAGTAAAATTGATTGCGGCCAATAAGATTCCGGTTGGCTTAGCCATGGAGGTCCCGCCCACCATAAGGCATTGTCGAGTAACTCGCTAGGTTGAAGACCACGAGAACCTGGATCAGCGGGGTTGTCTTTGGAGACTACATGACGCCAACAAGAAGGAGGTAATTTCTCTTGAATTTGGGAAACTCGATTGCTTACAAAGGTGTTCCACTTATATGGTTCACTTTTAAGCCAATGCAAAACAACCATCGAGTCGGACCATGCAATCGTACTAACATTAATAAGTTTATTAGAAAGAGAAGTTCTAACGAAATCAATTAACCTGGTCAGAAGTAAGGCTGCACAGAGTTCCAGTCTTGGAATTGAGATTTTTTTGAGTGGAGCTACTTTGCCTTTAGCGCAGACAAAATTTGTTTTTACAGAGTTATCTGGAAGAATTATCCTAAAATAAATTACTGCACAATAGCCTTTTTCACTAGCGTCACAAAAACCATGTACTTCCAGGAATAAATATTTGAGAGTGAGAAAATATCGAGGAACTTTGAGAGAGAAAATATGTGGGCACTCACCTTTATTCCTGTTCTGGACTCGTACTTGTTATTTTGCTTATAAAACACTTGAGGATAGCGCGCGCTTGGAGGTGTACACTGTGTACTCGGCCGATCTTGTCACTCTCTCGTATTCGACTACTGCTACGTACCCACTAAGGTTTTTCGGGTAAAGGATGGGAGGAAGGGATAGAATCCAACAGATTCAATAAGAAAAGATTTTTCGAAATTCCAGTTCCAAGACGGTGAAACCACCCCTTCAATATTACAATATTTTTTATTTAAAAAACGGTCAAGTTTCCGAAAAAACGCTTAAACACGTATATTTTATTTTGTTTTTTTACATATTTTAAGATTTTTTAAAAATGTATACAGGGTGTTTCGAAAAATCTGGTCATTGATTAATCACGATCCTGCTTAAAGCCCTTGACGTAAAAAGCTGATTTTTGGAAAACAGATTGACTTTAGGGTGTAGAGGTTCGATAAGAAGGGATTTTTCGAAACTCGAATTCTAAGGGGGTGAAACTAATCCCTCAAATATTAAAATATTTTTTATTTAAAAACCGGTGAGTTTTTCGGAAAAACTCTTAAACGCGTATATTTTATTTTGTTGTTTTACATATTTTAAGATTTTTTATAAATTTATACAGGGTGTTTCATAAAATATGACCATTGAGTAATCACGATTCTGCTTAAACTGCTTGACGTTTAAAGCTGATTTTTGGTAAACGATTTGACTGTGGGGTGTAGAGGTTCGATAAGGAGGGGTTTCTCGAATCTCAAATTCCAAGAGGGTGAAAACGCCCCTCAAATATTACAATATTTGTTATTTAAAAAACGGTTAGTCTTTCGGGAAAACGCTTGGACAAGCATAATTTATTTGCTTTTTTTACATATTTTGAAAATTTTTAAAAAATCATACAGGATGTTCTAAAAAGTTGGGTAATTTCTTAACCACGATTCTGCTTAAACTGATTGACGTAAAAAGCTTATTTTTGGCAAACGGATTTTTCGAGTCAAATTCGAACGAGATGAAACTACCCCTCAAATATTACCAAGTTATATAATAATATCGCCATATTGTTTTTTCTCATGCTGACATAAATGTGAGAAAATTTTATCCAGTTTGTATGTTAATGGAAATTCTTGCTTTGCTTTATCATCACCATTACAAATGATTAATTCGACGCGAACGAAGTCGCTGGTACACGCTAGTTACATATAAAATACACGAAGCACAAAATATGATGGAAACACTTAAACGGGTGTCAGATCAAAGTGGACTACGCATAAATTATTCAAAAACATAACTAATGACCAATCTCTTTGATGACCAAGAATTTCTAGTTGTTCTCACAGAACGACCGGTTGACTTAATTAAACTTCTCCTTTACCGCCTCATCGAGTGCTTGTCTTAATTCCTAAGTTCTTTTGTAAACCTTGTTGTTAACCATACCGCATAAAAAAAATAAAATGGATAGGTCAGGTGATCGGAGGAGGCCCATGCAATTTGTCCACCTCTTTCTATCCCTGAGTATACATACTTATGATATAAATAATTTTTAACATTTTTTTTGGGAGGGACATAACATAATGAAAGTCATGTTGGTACTACTCTATTAATGCGCGAGTATTATAATATAATATAAATTTAACTTTTCTAACATGTCTTGAAAACCGTTCTCTAAAAAACGTAAGTAACGTTCACCGGTCAACGTATCCTCGGAACTGTATGGCCAAGAAAAGTTGAACCAATAATCCTACACGCTTTTCTTCATTTGAAAAATTCATATGTACAATTTTTGTTTATTTTAATTTACAAAGCATTTACATTGCATGTGACAGTTTCACATTTCTGAGAGCAACGACGATTGAACTTGTTTCCATGGCTAACTAAGTGAAATTAGTCAAGAAAGATAAGAATTGGCTATAACTCAGTAATTTTTTGAAAAAAACATATTATTATAGCTTATTTCGCTGAAAAGCTTTAAAAATGACGCTTTTTATGAATTCATGGCCAACTGTGGTTTCCATTTAAAAAAACATGTTTGTGTCATATGTCAAAAATGACAGGCTTTAAAAAATATCGGAGAGCACAAGGGATGTGATTATCTACAACTTTTATCTGAAAACTTTTTATCTCAAATAGAATATAATGGAATTAGGGACAATTTTTAAAATAGCCAAATTTTTTTTTAAATATCTAGTAAGCCATAAACTTTTTCAAAAATCTGAAAGGCGCATATTAATGATCCCAAAAAGCTGCAATTCTTTTCCCATTTAACAGATTCTCTATCTCCAGTAGTTTCCGATATACCCATAGAGAACATTGTAGGAAACTCACCCCGTATATCTGCTTAAAAAACTGAAATAGAACTGGGCTGGGCATATTGGCAGAAGCTAATACTAGAATGGCGGTCAAGACAGGATGCTCTGAGAAGCAGAATCAGACCTCCAATAATATGGTCAGATGACTTAAAGAGATATAGAGGAAACTGGATCCAAGGACCTAGAAGGGTAGAAAGATTTGAGGAGTCTGGCAGTGGACAATTCAGGCTGGTTGATTATGATGATGATCCATAACTAACAACATTTTCAAATAGTTTTATTCCTTAATTAATCCAATTCTTAAAATATTTTGCATAATTTTAATACTCATAGAGTTCTTCTCCACAATAAAAACAATATTATTTTATACAGGGTTGTTCACCACATACGACACGGAGTATTGTAGCTAAACGATTAGATTTTTACAAATTGTAAGTTTTGGGTTCGTTGAAGGACTATTAGAGCTACAATTTAAAAATATTTTTACAAGATACAGAGTGTCCCAAATAAGTAAAAAATATTATAGTTGTATTTTTTTAAACGGAACACTCTGTATATTATTCTATTTTTGGATTCTACGATTGAAATAAAGGTAAATTTGATTAAGGTTTATCACACTTAAACCTTACCGTTTTTGAAATATTTTCAATTTTAATAAATTGCAGTAAAAATTTTAAGGCTTCATTTCTCCAAGGGTATCAAAGTTTTTAATACTAAATATTTACTGAAGATTATTTGTTGATCAGATATTGTGTTGCAATAATAAAAATTTTACTACCTTATACAGAGTGTCCAAAAATTTATATTAAATAATTACTAGCTTTAAACGGCAATCATATGCACAATTTAATTGTCTATCAAATTTTATTATACCATTTTTTACCTATCTCTGCAAGTTTTCGTAGAAAATGCATTTTCTTATAATTTAGACCTCATTTATCACTATACCCATGGAATATTGACATTTCAGATTTTTTTTTTGCAACATATTTTTTTTGCAAGCCTATTGGTATACCAAAAAAACTATTTAAATCTTTATAAAAAAGTATACGAATTAAATATACCACCATTATTTCCAACCAAAAATTAGTTAATTACATACTTTTAATTGTTTTAATTAATAAAGTATTCTAAATAAATGTGGATTTGGCTCAGAAATCAATATAATAATAAATTATGAAAATAAACGTCTCTGTTTTTATAAATCAGCATTCGTCAAAAAATGAAATAAAATTTATAAGGCGATACTTTTTACCACACTGTCTAATACACACACAAAATACAGTTTTTTAGTATTTGGAGCAATTATTATTAATCAACATAAACAG